ATAAATGGATTTTTACAAACAGTGATGCTATAGAAAATACAATTTTGGTTCTTTAAAGAATATTTAAATGAAATGTTGGGTAACACTCCATTTGAAGGTTTCCTTATTACACATTCTATGTACTTACAATTAATTATGCATAAATACATGCAACTAACCCTAAACCTAACCCACATTCTAACCCTAAACATATCAAGTATGTGCAATTAATTAATGCTACTCAGTACTTAAATGAATAGTTAGTTACACTGTAACAAGGACACATTAAAATAAAGTGTGACCGAATGTATATAATTTTCATTTATAATGTGAAGAGTATCTGTATAATCTAGTTTTTTTCAGAATACTTAAAAATGCATTTTTATCGAATGAAAGTTTCTATCATCAACACAAATAAAAAAATACATATTTTTATATTGCACTTAAAATTTTCATGTCGTTTTCTGTGTCACGTCAGTTTCATTTAGCAGATGCTTTTATCAAAATAAGAACAACATGTAAATACTTTAAAGAGTGCCAGTTAATCAAACGCAGTATACAAATAATATGTTCCTCAAAGAATATTTAAGTGAAATGTTTGGTAACACTTTGTTTGGTAAAGTTTCCTAATTACACAATTTGTGAACTTATAATTTATTATAATTACATGCAACTAACCCCAAACCTAACCCACATTCTAACCCTAAACATATCAAGGATGTGCTATTAATTAATGCTACTCAGTACTTAAATGAATAGTTAGTTACACTGTGTGAAGCGTGACCAAATGTCTATTTTTTAAATTTATAGTGTGAATGTGAGAAATAATTCATAGTGTGAAAATGCTTTTTTTTTTGTAGAATGAAAGTTTTTATATATATATATATATATATATATATATATATATATATATATATATATATATATATATATATATATATATATAGCAATTACTTTTATCCAAAATAAAAAAGATCAACATCTAAATACTATAAAGAGTCCCTGTTAGTTAAATATAATATAAAATAATAATTATTTTATATTATATAAAATAATAGATTTCAATGACAAATGGTGTTATAAGACTTTAAATTCATACATTGCACATAATTCATTTTGAAATAGTTCTTAAATAAAATGTAATCTTACAGTTAAATTTAACAACGCATGGTTCGCAAGTTTAATATGTGTGTTTCTGTGTGAGAGATTATTCCTACCACACACATACACACACACACACACACACACACACACCCAAACACACACACACACACACACACACACACACACACACACACATTCGGAAATAGAGGTCCTACTGTATGTATCAGTAGTGGAATTTGGTTGGAGGACAGAGTGTTGAGACATCAGCTCCTCTGGTAACAGAATTGAAGCAGCTTCATTTCCTTTGACCGGAATGAATGCTTACTATGAGTGTGTAGTAGAATTCTTAAACGACCCAAAGAATTGAAGGTTCATTGCTTTACTGATATATTACAAACACTTTATAATACCTGTTGTTTTATTAAAGGTCTAAAGAAAATCTGATGTGATATGCTGATCATTTGGTTTTAATTTAGTTATTTAGTTTTTAATGAATTTGTTTTGTTGTTGTTTTTTGTTTAGTGAATATTTTTCTGTATTCTAGTATTGATTGCTGCTATGTTTTTTTTTCTTGTTCATTTTTTTATAAATGTAAGTTTTAGGTGTGTAGTTATGTAATTATTTTAAAATATGATAATAATTATATATATGGTTATATTATGTTATTTTATTTGATGTTGTTTTATTTGATCTGTAGATTCTAAATATATCTGTAAAATAAAATAAAATAAAATATATATTAGACATTTTTTACTATATATTTCAGGTAACTTTTTATTATAATATATATGACCCACTTGATATTAGATGGCTATAGCTTTTTTAGTTACATTTACATTAATGTAAAAAAATGAACATGAAACAATTAAAAATTTACAACCTTTGCTGTCTAGAAAACTACTACCTTAATTAGAGGAGATTTTTTGTCGAAAGTTCAAATTCCATTACAATCATCAGTGACCCGACCTCTGCTCTGGTCAGAAGTGAAACCTTATGTGCTCTTTGACCCAGAGAGTCTCATTCCTCGTTCAGCTTTAGTTTTCTGGTGATGCTTTGAGCAGGAACTGGACCTTACATAACCCACTCATCTCTTTTGTGTCTGGAAAGGATTAGCAAGTAGTAGGCTAATCACCCTAAATCATGCACTGCCCTTGAGAAAACACACAAGATGCTTTATTAATGCCACTGTTTAATAAAACAATGCAAGATCAAGCAGTCTTGTATTTTAACCGGGGTGTTTTTTTTTCTTTTCTTTTTTTCTTTTCTACCTCAGGTTTGGTTACATGCGATTTGTAGTATGCTAATAGGGCTTTATTAATAGTGCATTTTATACTCAAGAAATAAATGTGGAATACCATTATTTCTGAAGCATACACGTTTGTATGATCTGATATTTTAAATATATGTATGCATGCACACCATTTTCAGGAGTGTCAGTTATTTTTTTACATTTGCCCTCAATCTAAAACAGAAACAGATGTTTGTAATTTAAACATAGTGCCTAAACGTCTGGTGCATCATTACTTTTTAAGAAACCCCTTGAAGGGACACTTCACCTAAAATTCTAACTCATATAAAATTCAAGCTCTCTCAAGTGGTACTAATGTTAGTAACCGGAAGCATTGACATCCATAGTAGAAAAAAAAATACCACAGAAGTCACTAATTATTGGTTTCCAAACGATGACATAATTGTAACCTATAATCTCCTTAAATTCACAGTAAATGAAGGTTATAGCATTGTTTAACGAATCTATATATCATCATTTATTAAAAATGCATTGTTTAATAACTTACCTAATGATATGCAGATCTGTTAAGCCAGATTTACATTCAAAGATAGACACAGATAGACAAAAATAGACAGTGCAAACATTTGACTGCTTTGTTTCAGGTTAATTGATTTACTTCAAATGACCTTTGCTAGGTCTTTAAAAGTTTTTATAAGATACATTAGCTATAGTCATTGCCAATTTTCTTTTACATTCATATTTGTAGGGAAAACTACATGCAAATGTCAACCTTGCCATGATTTTTTATTTTTTTCACCAAAATACAGAAACTGTTTTTGGGTTTTTTGGGTAAGCAAGTATTTTACAGTACTTTAGAAATACTAAAAAATGTCTCTGTCAGTGTTTTCAAACTATTTTATTTGATTTACCAAAGTCACAAGTGGCAATTTCACATCTGTTACATCCATAACAGAGAGATGTCACATCCACAACATTTTAGATTTTTCCTCAAAAATGTGAAAATATTCAATTAAATAAAACCAATCATTTTTTTTTTTTTATAGAGAGAACTATTTTCCTTTTGATTAGCACTGTTTATTTTGTATTGTGCAGTTTAATTCACAGAATTTCTACAAAGTATGTTGTGGACTGTAAACCCGCAGACAATTTTTTATTTGTCACATCCATAACACATGCTTATTTTCCTCATTTAAAGTACAAAACATGTTTGCAGATTGATATTTTGTTAACATGTTAACATATACCTTCTATGTGAGTTTATGCTTTGAGTTTACTGCAAACGTCACATCCGTAACACTGAAATTGCTCAGATATTTCATACAATTTATGTGGGTTGTAAGGGCCAACTCCTCAGAAACAACAGAAAACTATGCCAATTAAATGTTTGTATTTTGGCCACCACTGTATGTTGTACTTCATCTGCATTTTTTTCATAGCAATCTAGGGATATTGCTTGAAAAAAAGCTGAATGGAAACACAAATATGCATAAAATCCTAACATGTGCTCAGGAATGCTTACATGAGAATTTTTTTTATGCATGATAATAAAATTGTCAACAAGCTTTAATTGAAACACATATATTTAAATGAATAATTTGATCTACAATGAAAAGCTCCTGTGTCTGCATCACAACAGATCATGTTACTTGACTGTGGACAAACCAGTGAACCTGTCTTTGTGCACACATTTAACATGTTGTTGAGCCAAAGTCTGTCATCTAAATGATTTGGTTAAATAACCTCCCAAACAAGATTATGTGACAAGTCATCCATTACTGAAAGCAAGATAACATGACATTACATGTTATTCAAATAATTATCTGACATTTATTATGAAGGGAGGGAAAGCTACAGGGGGTTCCACGTTTGTAGCATCATTTATTTTATTATTATTTTATTTATAATTTGTGCTAGTTTTCCACAAAGTGCAGTTGTGTTCTCTTGTACACGTGGGATGAATTAAATGACTATTCTTTATTTTTAAATGATTATTTTCCTTTTGGTTAACTGAGTGGAAACATCACTATTGATTGATTAATCTGGCCTAAATAGTTTTTAAACAAATAATGAAAGCCTATTTCAACTCCGTTTTATTGACCTTTTCTTCTCCATTAAGCGTGAATGAATGTGACTTTATTGCTGGGTAAACTGTGAATCAAGAGGTCTGTGTGACCATTTAGGTGTGTGGAAAACTAGATTAATATATAACCGGGAAGTTATGCAAATAGCTTAATAGTTCTTCATTTCTCTATAACTTTCTTTCTATGTCCGCACTTGAATTTCCGACTTCATTCTGAAAGTAAGTTATAATAGGTACATGGCGGCTGTGTGTGTGTTTAGGAGTTCACTTTTCCTTGTCATGTATTGTTCTTTTGTTTGTGGTTGCTAGGTATTAACTGAGGCAGCATATAACTGCAGGTGGCAGTCACTCCGTATGACTGTTTGTTCTTGGAAAATAATGAAATAACTGTCAGGATGTGATGCATTTTTTGCGTCTGACAGTAAATAGTTCCTTATTGACCGCTGAATCATTAACAGAGTGTGCCTGATTGGATTATAAGAAACATACTTACAGGAAACTGACTGACAATTGAATTTTGTGTCTTAGGTTGTATGCTTTTGTTGTATATCTGTTGTTCATACCATTTTGTCTGTGTTTTCACAGCTGTAACAGAGATAGATGCAAATGCCACAGGCTCACCCACTAGTGATCCCACCATGACTGTTGGTAAGTTCATCTTAACTGCTCCCAACACAAAACTGTTTAGTTTCATCAAAACTTTTCTTTAACATCATCAGGTGAAGCTGTCATGTTAGTCATAATGAATATATGCTCACAGTGTATTTTAATGTACAATTCACACTATTAACAACCCATTAAATAAGACTTTAAGCTCAGTTAAAAGGGTTGTCCTCTACGATATCATATTTTAAACTTCAGTTGATAAGAAATGTAGCTGTGTGAAACATAAACAACATCTCTGTAATGTAATACGCTCAAAGTAATTATCAAAGTTCAATGCAAAGGGAGACATTGGCTTTTACAGAGTTAGCTTAGCAAAGCCTACAGCGAATGAAGTTTGGGGACTACAAAAAAAACAAAAAAAAAAACATCAGGGTTAATGAGATCACAAACATTTCAGGTTACATGCATTTATCATGCGCATATACACTGCACAGCGAAGGGGCGTGGCCAGAGAAGCTGTAATGTTATAGCAGAGAAAGCATCCAAATGCTGCTACTGTATATTCCACAGAGCTCGTTCTGTTTTAGCTTCCGAAGGACACAACACAAAGAGAGAAGTGCTTACAGTTTAATTTGAATTATGTTCCAGAGATTTATAAAAGCATTTGACAAATGACAGCTTCCAGAATCTCTCCCAGTTCAGTGCTGGATTCGGCTAAAAACTCCTGCTTGTAGGGGCGTGACGCTTGTCCTGGTGATGTGGAGCTGATCTGTGAATCGCAGCACATTATTTTAGCTGACCAATCAGAGCCTCTTGAGGGCGGGCTTTTGGAGGAACTAGGAAACATGACAGTGGTTTTCATATTAGCTGAGTAGCTGTATATAATGAAAGTAAGATATATGAAAAAATAACGTCATTTTCTACAAGTGAAGCATGAGCACATTGCTTTGCATCTAATAAATACAGGCAAGCCTTAAAATACACTCTGGACCACCCGATTTAATAGTTAGTAAAGTACAGTAGTAGTTGGGTTTAGGTATTGGGTAGGGTTAGGAGTGTAAAATAATATTATACATTATAGGTGCCAATAAACTGGGAATATCTTAATAATAGGCAGGTAATAAGGCAGTATTTAATGTTGTTAATTAAAAAGTGACCAATTATATATTTAAAAAGAATTCCATTGCTTGCACAATAATAAAATCTCCACTCATATTGCTTTTAATACTGGTTTCACATTCTTTTGTTTATTTAATGATGTGAGAATGGGCTTTAATCATTTAAGAGGAGGAACTATAACTCAAAGTCATAAATAAACAGTAGCTTTATTTGAACATTTTAGTATAAAGAGCTTTTGTCTTTGAAAAAATATCTACAGCTTAATTCAAATATTTGTTGGTGAATGCTTACTTTCACATGGTCATTTCCATAGTGATGGCGGATCTGTTACTAATAGCATGCTATAAACCAGTGGTTGCCATGAAAAAAGTGTGGTGCCCATACCTGTTCCTGGAGGGCCACTGTCTTGCAGAGTTTATTCCCTGCCCTAATTAAAGACAGCTAAATCAATTAATCAAGGTCTTCAGACTCTTCAGAAACTTCTAGCCAAGTTTGTTCCTGAAAACATGAAACAAATGTGTTGAAAGTTCAGACGTAAAATGCTCATTTGTGCAGCACTTCATGTTGTGAAGATGTGAGACCTAAGCATATCCTGTATGTTTGTCAAGCATGTATATTTGAAAAGCAATGGTAAAAGTAGCAAATTAGAATGGAAAAACACATTTTGTGTGAGTGAACCCTTACAGTAGTACAGGCCATATAAAATTAATTTTGATATATTTTGCAACAGTTATCACGTTTGTTTAGTTCACACGACTTATTAAACATTTTAGCTTCCAGAAGCAGGTTGACAAGTGCCCCCATTGAGCAGTCATTTGCACTTCTGCCAAACAGTGAGCTTTTTGTAGAATTTGGCCCATATGTCAAAGTAGAATAATGTCACGAAAATAGAGACTCAGATGAAGAACATAAGGGTAAAGGGCAGGGGTCACCAATCCTGGTCCTGGAGGGCCGGTGTCCCTGCAGGGTTTAGCTCCAACTTGCCTCAACACACCTGCCTGGATGTTTCAAGTATACCAAGTAAGACCTTGATTAGCTTGTTCAGGTGTGTTTGATTAGGGTTGGAGCTAAAATCTGCAGGACACCGGCCCTCCAGGAACAAGTTTGGTGACCACTGGTTTAGGGTGTCATGTTGGTTTGGGCTTTCACACGTATAATTTTGAGGAATACGTTGTAAATCCAACATAGTCTCTTTCTGAAAACATAGCCCTATATACGTTTCTGGATTGCAAATTATGTAGCCAGAGCTACGTATGGCTGCCTTTCATCTTTAAAACGAATGCTACAGGGCCGGTATGACAGCGGTCCTTTTCTCACTTACCAGCTGACCACTTATCTCTGTATGGACGGCTTTTCCACTGTTACTAGTATGTTGACGGACTTGAGACGCAGAGCGGAGTTGATCGCGACAACAGGGTTGAGTCCAATGAAGAACGCTTCCTAAATGTTTTTGTTTGGCAAAAACAGAAGCCAAAAAAATTAAATAAACAAGTAAATAACAGGGTAAGAATGTGGTAAAATCTGAAAACAATGGTAAAAATTCTGGATTGCTCTTTAAAATACTGCAGTTGGGTTAAGGGAAGCGGGTGGGTGGGAGATCGGTCAGTCAGTAAATCAGACAACAGCGGCCTCTTGTGGATTTACGTGAAAAGAGCAGGCACGAATAGGACTTGCGAAAGAAATTTGAGATCTGAAAAAGCGTACACATTGACCTCGGGTTGATTTGCGATAACAAAAAGTGTTATAAAATCAGCTCCTGGGACGTATTTTGCTCTCTCCAGAAATCTATATAGGTGTACCAGCCTGATCTCACAAGGAAACGTAAGTACTTTACGTTTTATGAGTTTAGTGGCTAATTCATAAGAATCCAGTTGAGTTGTTCGAAAATGTATGATTTTAAAAAGGAGGCGTGACACCCAACCCTGCCCCTAAACCCAACCGTCATTGGTTGATAAGCAAATCATACTAAATTGTACAAATTAAATTAAATTAAATTGTACGAATTCATTCAATTTAGCCCCTAAATCAAAAAGTTACTAATTTCCATGAGATTGCGTTGGGTGTACTTAATCAGAAAAAGTCTGAGTTGCATAAATCCTCTCTTTTCTATGTAAGGAAACTGGACATGAGCCAAATCACAAAATCAAGTTAGATTTTAATTATGAGTAGTAATTGGAAGTGGTAAACCTTAAATGTCCAAAGACACGTGGCATAGGTGACTTAAATAAACTACATTGGACATGAGTATGTGTTTGTGAATGAGAGAGCGTATGGGTATTTTACGAGATGTGCTCACTTAGGGCTGGGTTGAGGCAGGAAGGCTAAAACATCTACCGGTAAAACAGAGTAATTGACAGTTCATTCCATTGTGGCAACGCCTGCTAAAGCAGGGAATTAATGAGTGAATGAGAGTGATCGTGAATGTCTAATTCTGCTCCAGGAGGGCCAGTGTCCTGCAGAGTGTAACTCAAACAAGCTCCAGAACAATTACCTTTATTAGCCGGTTCATGTGTATTTAATTTGGGTTAGAACTAAACTCTGCAGGACAGTGGCCCTCCAAGAACAGGTTTAAGCACCCTCATATTGTATGCTGAAAAACGAATTTACTTACAGTTTCTTTGCATTTTTTTTAGGAGATTTTTTGAATCCTATGCCAGACATTGATGGAATTATAATAATTATTACACTTATTTTAGACTTGACACTATTCAAAACAAGCACTCAGCTAGAACAGCAATAAACAGAACATTTTTTTGCCCTGGTGTTTTGAGGGGGAGCTCCTTTTAGTTTGTCACTGGACACACACAGTGCAAAAACAACAAAGTTAGTGCCTCTGATTTAAGTGTTAGGGTGGACAAAGATTTTCTATTTACATTGTTTAAATGTTAGTTCATCAAAATATGACAATGATATTAATAATTACTCACCCTCATGTTTTTCCAATCCCAGGATACCTTTATTTATCAGAACACAATTCAAAATATTTTAGATGAAATACGAGAGCTCTTTTATCCTCCATAGACACTACTGGTCTCGAGACATTTAAAGTCCAGAAAAGGATCTAAAAACATTGTCTAAACATTCCATGTAAATTCAGTGGTTCAATTGTCTTCATACAAATATTTAAAAACACCTTTGTGTGCCAAAAAACTATAAATACTTCTCTTTTTACCTATATCTTCGTTCTTACGTTGTTATGGTGGACAAATGTTTTGCCACTACTATAGCCCATAGTAAACACACTCTGATCTGATACAGAAGACACTGGCGAACAAAGTTGTTTTTACAGTTTTGTTCTTGGAAGTTCCTGTGGTTACAGTTGAACCACTGAAGTCAGATGGATTGCTTTGTGCTTATACATCGTGTTTCCTTATCCCATGACTTTGCTTTTTAATATATGTTGAGAGAGCTTTAAGGTTTCATCTAAAATATCCTCCTTTGTGAAGATGAATGGAGGTCTAGGGGATTAGCAAAAAATTAGGGTGAGTAATTAATAACAGGATTTTCACTTTTGGGTGAACTAACCCTTATGGGCCCTATCATACACCCGGCGCAATAAGGAGCAAGATGTATTTGGTGCAATGTGTTGCTATTTTCAGAACAATGCAACCCTAATTTTCCCATTTTGCACCACGTTGTTTAAATAGCAAATCCATTTGCATCGCTTTGTGGACTCATGGATCTGCTGGTCTAGAATGGACAAGAAAAAAATTACAAAATGTATTATTTTCTACATAAATATAAAAGCCACTAACTCTGTATCTTTATCTTGGGGGGCTTTTTCCAGTTTATTCATGACAACTTGCTTTTGTATATTGTTATTATTATTATTATTATTAATTCTTTGCAAATTTATATTTGTTTTAATAAAAACAAGCTTAGATTTGTCCACCTGTCGTGTTTTGGACTATATGAGGCATAGGACGTGTGCTTGGATATAACTCAATTTGTTGACCACACTTCATTATTATTGCTCATGTATTCGTTGCTGGAAATTAGAACTGAATTTAGAAATAGTTTTTAAACAAATATTTGTGCTTAACAAGTGAAATTAAATGTGTAGGCTAGTGAATGTCTTCAGTGGAATTCGTACAAGACCGTTTCCTTACTCTGTGAAAGTGAAGGAGTGAAGAGAAAGAGGCCGAATGGAGGAGGCTTATTCTTTGTCTTAGCACTGCAGATGGTCAGATTTTCTCACTAGTAAAGCATTCAGTTTTTCCACTTACAAAGTCTGCCATGTAAATAGCAAATGTGCCATGGCATGACGCAACTGACTCCTAAAGGGAATGGGAGATGAGACTCTGATTGGTTTAATGCTAGTTATGCTCAAAACACACACATAATTCATTAAGAGAATATCACAACCCTGTTAGAGCATGAGCCGTGGCGCAAACCGTATTTTTCCGTCCTTAAAATAGCAAAAGTGGATTCCAACATGCCTTTAATACTTTTGCTCCATGAGCTTTAGACTTTGCACCTAGATCGTTAAAATAGAGACCCATGTCCTTATACAGTTATCCTTTTAAGTGTTCCTAATGATGTATTTGTGGCCAACAGCACCAAGCATTCCATCTGGGAATACAAGTACAGCATTCCCAAACAGTGCTACAACTTCAGCTCTGTTGACAACACGTCGTGGTGATGTCACTTCTCTACTCTCATCTACTCAAGACAGCATTTCGAGCTCATCCACAACTCCACTAGTTAATGCTACAAGCTCATCAGTGAGTACATCAGGAAATGCCACAACTTCACCTGCACCTGTAGCCAACATCACAAGTCCACTTGAACCTACAGCGGGGAATGCAACAACCGATCCTGTAACTGCACCAGGGGACAGCACAACTACTAATTTCCTTGAGTCAGGCAACAGCACATCTCTACCCCACACTACAAGTGGCAATTACACATCTCCTCTCATTAGCTCACCAGGCTACACCACTGCTCCATCCATTACAACCCCAAGCAATGTCACAATTACCGCCCAAACCACATCAGGTAACGATACAACAGCAAACTATGCCACGACGTCACCCTCAGCCACACACTTACCAACACCAGAGAACAATGCAACAGGGAGCGCTACCACACCACCCATCACTACACCAGGGAACTTTACAACAGGTGACGCTACTTCACCACCCTTAACTTCATCAGGAAGTAATACAACAGGGAACGCTACTGCATCACCCATGACTACACCAGTAAATGCTACTACACAACCCTTAATTACAACAGGGAATGGTACAACGGAGAGTCCTTCTAGACCATCCATGACTACACCAGTGAATTCTACTATACCCCCCATTTCTACACCAGAAAGCAATACATCAGGGAATGCTACTGCACCATCTATGACTACACCAGTAATTGCTACTACACAACCCTTAACTACACCAGAGAACAATACAACAGGTAACACTTCTGCACCATCCATGACTACACCAGTGAGTGCTACTACACAACCTTTAACTACTCTAGAAAACAATGCAACAGTAAACGCCACCACACCACCCATGACCACACCAATACATGCTACTACACCACCCAAAACTACTCCAGGGAGCAATACGACAGTAAATGCTACCACACCACACATCAGTACAACAACGAACAATGCCACAGTAAATGCTACCACACCACACACTACTACACCAGGGAGCAACACAACAGTAAATGCTACTACACCACCCATAACTACACCCTGGAGCAATACCACTGTAAATGCAACTACACCCCACTTTACTTCACCAGTGAGCAATTCAACAGTAAGTACTACCACACCACTCATAACCACACCCGGGAACCATACCACAGTAAATGCTTCAACACCACCACCCATAACTACACCCGGGAACCATACCACAGTAAATGCAACTACACCACTCATAACTACACCAGGGAGCAATACAACAGTAAATGCTACTACCCCACAAAGTACCACTCAAGGAAGCAATACAACAGTAAATGCTACTACGCCACCTATAACTACACCCGGGAACCATTCCACAGTAATTGCAACTACACCACAATATACTACTCCAGGAAGCAATACCACAATAAATGCTACTACACCACAAATTACTACAACAGGGAGCAATACCACAGTAAATGCCACTACACCAACCATAACTACACCAGGGAGCAACACAACAGTACATACTACCACACCATCCACTAGCACACCAGGAAACAATACCACAGTAAATGCTACTACACCCTCCATAACTACACCAGGGAGCAACACAACAGTAAATGCTACTACACCACACAATACTACACCCGGAAACAATTCCACAGGAAATGCTACAACACCGACAATTACTACACCAGGGAGTAACACAACAGTAAATGCTACAACACCACCCATTACTACACCAGGGAGCAACACAACAGTAAATGCTACAACACCACCCATTACTACACCAGGGAGCAACACAACAGTAAATGCTACAACACCAGCCATTACTACACCAGGGAGCAACACAACAGTAAATGCTACTACACCAGCCATTACTACACCAGGGAGCAATACCACAGTAAATGCTACAACAACACCCATTACTACACCAGGGAGCAATACAACAGTAAATGCTACCACACCACCACAATCTACTCCAGGAAATACTACTCTACCACCTATAACCAACTCAACAACTGGACCCATCGTATCTACTACTAACCCAACTAACACCACCACACCAGGTGTGTTTGAATGAATGTGATTGTGTACTTCTCAAATATAATGTGCATGCAGTGTTGTACATAAATGTCTTTAATATGTCCCACATTCATAAACACTAAGTTCCATTCCTTTTCCCCCCTTTTAGGTACTTGTCCTACAGTGCCCTGCCCATCACTCAGTGTCTGTGTGAACTCCGTCTGCCAGTGCTTGGCAGGAACTGTTCTTTTAAATAATGTTTGTGTGGAAAGTAAGTACCTGTTGTCAAGCCTCTTTCATTCACTTGCCCTATTTGTCCTCACATGGGGCCATCATACTGAATCACTCTTATTTTAAGTTGCATTTCACCAGCATAAACCATGCCACACTTTGAGCTAGACTTTATTGTAGGGATGAAGGGGATGTTAAGAGAACAGTGGAATGAACGGGAGGGGAAATAAGAGGATAAACATTGAACAGGTAGGTAGGTTGATCGGACATCCTACGATGATGCCCAGAGACTCAGAGTCAGGGTACCGTCTCTGTAATATTTTGGTAGACTGATTGAACCCCCGATTCAACCTAGGAGTGAAGAGAGGGTTGTGAATGGGAAGCAAGGAAACAGAGGAGGGGAGGGTGGGTTCTAAAGAATGAGACGAACAACGCTAGAGGGCTGGTCTGCCTTAAATACATTTTACGAAGTAGGTGATTGGTTAAGGAGACAAAGTGAGGTGTGGTTTATGCTAGCCACTATTTCCACAGCAGAATTATTAATGCACAATTATATTTACTTCAATATGTTTTATATTTTTGTTGCATTATTTTATTTCAGATAATTTCATAAAGAATGAATATATTGTAAATTATATTCTGCAGAAAAGTTTAATGTATTATGTACTTCAGGGCAGACTTTTAAAATGTAATAGCCATGGCAATAAAATTTCACTAGACATAGGAACTCGAAAGTAAATATTTCAATTATGTCCATGCCATGTATCAATAATGAAAGGAACATAACAAAAATTGTAAGTGTAACTTTTTTCTTTTCCCAGCTAAAACCTTTGCTAGTTCCCTACGAGTGAACCGCACTTTTGATGATGCCATGAATGATCCCAAGTCACCTCAATTTCAGGAATTTGCAAATGAGATCATGGCTGCGGTAGGTTACAAACTTGCATTACTCACAAAAACTTAAAATAATTTGTATGTAATATTTGTAAAAATATTTGTAAATATGGAAATATATATACAGGGGTGGGACAATGTACATTTTTTTTGAGGTTTCATGGCTACATTTGACCAGCCAATCTTCATTGGTTGCAAACTCCAACAGTAAGAGCAGAGTGTGAAGGTTTACTTAGCAGAGAACGAGTTTTGCTTAAAATATTGCAATGCACACAACATTATGAGTGACATAACAGTATTAAAAAGAGGAGAAATTGTTGGTGTGCATCTCGCTGGTGCATCTGTGACCAAGACGGCAAGTCTTTGTGATGCATCAAGAGCAACGCTATCCAGGGTAATCTCAGCATACCACCAAGAAGGATGAACCACGTCCTACAGGAGTAACTGTGATTGCAAGAGGAAGCTGTCTCAAAGGGATGTCCGGGTGTTAACCCGGATTATATTTAAAAAACATAAAACCACAGCTGCCCAACTCACTGCAGATTTAAATGTGTTTGACTGTTGTATGCCCAGAGTGAAGTATGGGGGTGAATCAGTGATTGTTTGGTCTGCAATATCATGACATTGCCTAAGCGCAATACTTCTGCTACATTGGTGCATCACTGCCAAGGGCTACCAAACCATTGTGGAGGACCATGTCTAGTGGTTCCAAGATTAGCTGCATCCTAAATGGCACTCTATGCACTTATGCACTAACACATTCAACAGTATAGTATATGTATGTAGTATCATCCCAAATAGAACACTAAGGGTTTTTTACCTAAGCTGAATTTCAAACCGTTTCCCTGATGACGTTTGACGGTTGCCAAATTTGTGAAATAAATGACAAAACTACCCTATAAAATTGCCCTGAGTATAACCGCATTCACCATCTGGAGGCGGTATAATCACTCTCGTAGAAGAATTTTGCTTTCACAATCCAAGTCATCCAACATAAGTGCCTGAAAGCTCCGCCCCTTCTGCTACTTGAGCAAAGCAGCGGCTGTTGAGTGCATGTTTTAATAGTTAAATAAGTCCATCATTCTGGTATTTAAAGTGCACTTATCATTTTTAGAGTTTTCAGCGTGAATGCGTACTTACTAGGGATGTAACGGTATCAGAATTTCACGGTACGGTAATACCTCGGTATGAATGTCACGGTACGGTATTTATTGAATCATTTACAGGAAAAAACAAAACTTATGAAAATACTCCAAAATAGTGCCAAAAGTGTCAATGACATACAAATTAGCCATCTATCTGTAAGCTTTGAAACAGGAACTTCAATTTTAATAACAAAAAAAATATTAAACCATGTAAAAAATAAAGTTTCAATTTAGTATTGTTGAAAACTCATCACATTCAACATTTAATCACACTCAGCCCATCTACCCAGATGAGAGCTCTGCTAGTCGGACTTCTCATCAAGCATCTCCCGCTGGATCTAATCTCACTATATTTATTAAACGGGATATTTCATTTATCTTGTTGTCTTTATCTAACGACATATTCCTTGACTTTGGGCATTGGAATCTATTACTTGTTCTCAGGTAACGTGTTTTGGCTGAGCGCAAAGATAAGTTAATGATTAATGTAACCACGTACATTCTGTATATTGACTGATCGCTTGCCTTTATTTCCTATAATGTATAAACTTATTGTATGTTATACTTTTAAAATGGCCATTATCGATTCTTAAAACTGATACTCAGCAAAAGAGAGGGTGTGCTCATATATGCAGCACGACGCCTCAACATGTCTGCTGTCTAAGTTGCTAATATTAAAATGAAAATAGGCAGTTCCTTAAATCATGTTTACATTTTATTGTTGACAAAGTGAAACAACGAAGCCAGGGTGATGTGAATGAAGTTATAAAGTACACTCTTCCCTTTGAAGATTTACCCGTGTCCTCGGTATAATCTGCTTTTCCATATCAAACTGAGAAGAAGAGACTGCAGCCTTGATCAAACTTGCGAAGTCTGAACTTACACGGAGATAATGCAGGACTGAACTGTGTGTGTTAGGCTACTTAATATTCAGGAAAAGCCCCAATCAGAGAGGCGAATGTCTGCAGCCCCGCTTCCGTTTTCAGATGTCTCCGTTTTCCATCATCCACACTGAGACGGAGCAGCAGCGTTTCAGAATGAAAACGGCTTCTACAGCGTTTTCGAAACGCTCCGTTTTCGGCGCTCGAGAACTCCGGCGTAGTGTGGACGGTTGGCGTAACCGTAGCAAAACTTATGCGTTTTCAAACTAAAACGCATTAGTGTAAACAGGGCCTTAGAGTTTTCCAGCTCTTTTCATCCCCGCTTCTAGCAGCACACTCCATTTCCTCATTACTGGATCTGTAGCGACAACAGACCGCAAGGGATGATGGTCAAGCATGGGCTGATGGCAATTGTAGTTTTCGCTACCTCCCGTTCGCTTCATTCGCCTGAGCAAATTTTCTCAGAAGACCTATAGTTTTACCGAGTCATGCGACTTCGGTAATATCGAAAAAAATTAATATTGCGGTATGACGGTATTTACAATACCGTTACATCCCTAGTACTTACACTATTTATAGTTTGCCGTTTGGGACGCACCTATTGTATCCTGAAGGCGGTCCCATGTATTGGGATGATAATGCACCAAAACACAGTAAGACTGGTAACAAAATTGTTTGATGAACATAAAAGTGAAGTTGAACATTTCACATGGCCTGCACAGTCACCAGATCTAAATATTATTGAGCTACTTTGGGGTGTTTTGGAGAAGGGAGTCAGGAAAGTTTGCCTCCACCAGCATCACATAGTGACCTGGCCACTATTCTGCTAGAAGAATAACTCAATTCCCTCTGTCCATCGCGCAGGTCATTACCAAGAATAATTGATGCTGTATTGGCTGCAAAAAAGAGCCTCTATACCATATTAATTAATTAATTATTGTGGTCTCGTGGTAGTTTTTTTTTGTATATAATGTATTGTATATAATATATTATATATAATGGTGCGAAAAGTGTTTGCCCCTAACTGATTTATTTATTTATTTTTTTTAATGTTTCATGGTTTAATGTTTTAGATCATTAAACTAATTTTGTAAGATAACACAAATATGTCTACTGTATGTCTACCAGTTTTAGCTTTGATATTGACTATTATAATGCATACAGACAGGTGTCTTATTGAATAGCATCCTATAGAAAGTATTTATTTAAAGGGAGATGTGTGAGGTATGTACTCATTTATGCTGGCCACTATTTCCAGAGCAGAATTATTAATCCACAATTATATTTACTTCAATATGTTTTATATTTTTGTTGCATTATTTTATTTCAGATCATTTCATAAAGAATGAATATATTGTAAATTATATTCTGCAGAAAAGTTATAATGTATTATGTACTTCAGGGCAGACTTTTAAAATGTAATAGCCATGGCAATAAAATTTCACTAGACATAGGAACGCCAAAGTAAATATTTCAATTATGTCCATGCCCTGTTTCATGTCTTTTAGTCTCATAGATTCGAAATCAACACTGTTCATTTTTCATCACAGGTAAATGGAGCCATGCGTAACCAGAAAAACTACATTAACTGTACAGTGATTAAATTGATGTAAGTGGCTCTTAAAACATTTCTTACACAGCTCTTAAAAGATTGTATTCAAATTTTCTAATCGTTGTAAATGTTTCCAGGCCTGGCAGTGTAGTGGCCACAGTTAACATGCTTTTTGAGCCCAACTCTCAAGTCACCCAGGAATCAGTTTCATCTGCCATAACTACTGCTATACAACAGTGCAATAACACAAATTGTGGGATTCTTGCTGGTGCACAATACAGTGGTGAGTGTCTTGAAAAAATCCACCATTGGCTGATACCAAATAGTGAAGCAATACAATACAGCTGCACATACTCATGTTTTTCACATTGATCAATCTTTACACCACAGTACATTTATTTATATCTTAAAAGGGTAGTTCACACAAATTACAAATGCTTCCATCATTTACTCACTCTTGTTTCAAAGCTTCATAAGTTTCTTTTTCTGTGGAACACAAAGTGATATTTTGGAAGAAAGCTGTAAAAATATTTCCGTAGTTTTTAATTTTGATGGAACGTTTGAAACCACTTGAGGTGATAAATAACAAATTTTAATTTTAATGTGAACTATCCCCTTGACATTAACTCACAATAAATCCTATGTGGACAACAGATTCACCATCATCATGATCCATTTAAAATATTTATGTGTACATTTTTCATAGATTAGTAAAACTGTCATAGCTTGATATTTTAACGTCTAAAACCATAGTTTATCTCAACTTCTCAAAACTTTTCTCTTTAGATAACATAAAAATCATTCTAAATTTTTAAATTACATTTCAGAAGCTGACATAACAATCAAAAATGAATAATAAAAAACTGGTTTGAAGCTAAAAACATTGTAATGTTTGAGTTCAAATGATAGATTTTACTTTTATGCCAAGAATCATTAGAATATTAAGTAAAGAGTATTAAGCTAATTTCCTAAGGCAAATATCTCAAAACTCAATTTTTGATTAGTAATATGCATCGCTAAGAACTTAATTTGCATACCTTCAAAAGTGATTTTCTTAGTATTTAGATTTTTTAAACATCAGATTCTAGATTTTTAAATAGTTGTCATTCATTCCCCTTTATTAATCTGGGGTCACCACAGCGGAATGAACCGCCAACTTATCCAGCAAGTTTTTACACAGTGGATGCCCTTCCAGCTGCAACCCATCTCTGGGAAACATCCACACAAACATCCTCACACACACTCATACACTACAGACAACTTAGCCTACCCAATTCACCTGTACCACATGTCTTTGGAGTGTGGGAGAAACCGGAGCACCTGGAGGAAACCCATGCAAAGGCAGGGAGAACATGCAAACTCCTCACTGAAACGCTAACTGAGCCGAGGCTCGAACCAGCGACCCAGCAACCTTCTTGCTGTGAGGCGACAGCACTACCTACTGCGCCACTGCTTCGCCTTTAAGTAGTTGTATCTCGGCCAAATTTTCTCCTAACAAATCATACATCAACTTTCAGATACATACATCTCAGTTTTCGAGGAATTACACCAATGGCTTCTTTTGTTGTCCATTTACAGTAGCTTTTTAGGACATAAATCTATTACTTTACATTACAAGTCCTTTAGTTGCATGGTAGGCAGAGAAAGCATTCTTATGATGAAATATCTAATATATGTATACTGGGCTCTGTTTCTTTATGATTGTCTATTTCTAGAAACTAGTCTGTGTGCTCAAAATCCTCCTCCTTGTGATACCGAAACTACAGTGTGTAATACTAAAGATGGGTCTGCCATCTGTACCTGTGTAACTGGTTACATCCCCAGTCCTTACCAGATCAAAAGCTGCAGTGGTGAGTTTTTATTACTGCATAAAAAAAATCACATGAGCTACCATGTATGTTTATGTTTGCATATAATATTCATTGCTGACCTTTGAGTTTGACGTGGTTTCTGCCATGGCAACAGACATATTAATCCTGATCTGGGGACATCAGTGTTTATAATGTACTCTACTCTCTTCACCAATTGATTCGGTTTATTTTCTGTCTTTTTTTTTTCACAGCTTGCCCAAGTGGCTCCAAAGCATATGAAAATAAATGTGTGCCGTGAGTAGAATTTCATTCTTTTTTTAATACACACCAGTGTCAAGTTTGTTTCTGTCTAGACGAGTTGAAGTTAAAGTCATGATGTCAATATATAGGGCAACCTATAAGACATTAGTATAGCAGTTTTTGTTTAGGTATAGTCAACATTTAAAGTGGATTTTTCATCAAAGTTGGACTAAAACTATTGAACATCAATCACTTTAGTCTTTGGGCGATATTGAAAAACTGTTTTGATCCACTTTGTGATGACTACTGTATAAGTAATAATAACCACATACTCACAGTCATACTTTAAACAAGATGTTTCAGTAATTCCAGTTGTCTTCTGTTGCGAACTGAACTAATGTGTTCATTATTTATACGAGAAAACACTGCCCTCTTGTGTCAAGGGAAAATTGCAACAGTTTTATATATGTGAAGATGCTTCATCATATTTATTTATTGTCTTTAAACAGATGTTCGTTTGGATATTCTGGATTCAACTGTAATGACTGTAAGATATATATATTTTATTACAGTATTTCTTGCTTTTTAAGATGACGACCTACGCAATGCATTCAAATTGTTACTATAAAATACTATTTCACAATTCCACAATGTGTTGTTATACTCCTTTAACTTCCTGCTCTACCAAATGGTTGACCATATTTTGACTGTTTTAAATATTGCCATTAAATAATGACTTTTAAAGAATGATTGTTTAAAATAATAGTTTAAACACACAGCATTGTTGATTTACAGATAAATCAAACAAACATAATCCTGTTGCACTAATACACTTGATTTTGACTTTGTTGTAAAAAAAAGAAAGAAAAAAGAAAATATGTTAAATGAGAATCTGAAATATTTTATGGCATACTCCAAAAAGTAAAGATGATGTAGTATTCAGAAATGTTTTATGTAGATTTTATATATATATATATATATATATATATATATATATATATATATATATATATATATATATATATATATAAATTGGTCTTACACTTCATATTTTGAGACTTTTCACTGTACATGTATTAATTACAGCACTTTTATTTTAAACCAACATATCAACCATTTGGTAGAGGTTAACGTTTTAGAAATTAATGGATGTGTTGAGGAAAAATGCATTGAGTGTGTTAGCGACATTAGGAGTTACAAAATGCAATCCATTTTTTTTTCTTGGTGAGGCAGTTAGAAAAGTAAAAAATATTTTAAAAAAATAATGATTATGATCAGCAAATTCTTGTTCAAATTGACTAATTTAAAAAAATGTTTTTACAAGTTTACAAGTGACAATGTTCTCACCTTTTTATTAATAATACATTTAGTGATTTTATATTAATCATGTTAATAACATTTTAAACAAAACACATAGACCATTTAAAATAAATGATAATAAAACAATAATTTAAAACAAATCATTACTGGTGAGACATTTTATTTGAATATATTATTGACTTTATTTGTTTTACATGCAAAACATGCAATCAAAGAATTACCAGTATTAACAACATTGGGTTGAATGGAATTAATGTTCTGATAGTTCAGACAGCACAATTTTTAAAAAATATGTCCTAACAAAACAAACTCAAAGCAAAATAACTTATTTTAATGGAGAAATTTTAGCTGCAATGACCATTGGTGTGCATATTTTTGTCAGCATTTTTTATCAACAAAATCCAGTCCCAAAAAATAAGTGAAGTTTAATTATAACCTATTTTTGAAAGGATCACGTGCTTATGATTGACCACGGCTGGTCTTGCATGATATTCCAATCAGATGAATCCAAACACTCATAAATAGCCCAATTTCCTTGCCTAAACCACCTTGTTTTTCATGTCAAACTTGTAAAGTTGGATCTTTTGATGAAAGTGTGCAAGACTGAACTTTAGGCTCTTAATATTGAGGAAAAATCCCCAGTCGGATAGTTTTTAGATGTCTCCTTTTCTCCCCATCCGCAATGACACAGAACAGCAGTGTTTTAAAACCAAAATCTCACCAGCGTTTCCAAAACAGGGCATGAAAACTTCGGGGTAGTGTGGACGGAGGGAGCAACCGTAGCAAAATTTATGCGTTTTAAAACTAAAATGTATTAATGTAAACAAGGCCTTTGTCTTGAAGAATCCCTCCGTCCACCCTGACTCCTGCCCTTTTTCTTAGCTCAATTCAGGGGAGTTTTTGAGACCTACCTGAGCTCAGACTCCCCTCTCTTTCTTGATTAAACAGGAGGGACCCCTGGGCTCAAGGATCTTCTGAGCTCAGGGCTCTCCTAGGACAGCATGCCAAACGCTTTATCAAGCACCAGTGTCACCACAAGTGTGAGCTCTTGAAATAAGTTTAAAGAAAAGCATATTAAGATTTTTTTTGCCACAAATATAATAGAAAAAATGGGTAATCCTTATTTACTATATACAATCCATGGGTTTAAAATGACCACAGGGCAAAACACAAAAAAAAAATGCATTAAAAACCTCTTAAAATTATTAAAATAACATACATATTTTGAGGATATTAAAACATTTGCAAAATGTGTTCCCTTTATTTAAAATATGCCTTTAATGTGAAAAAGAAGCTCTGATCAAAAAATAAATAAATAAAAAAACTTGAATGCATTATGGGGTTAAAGTTATTTTAATTTACACAATTCATTAGAGGCATTTGTTCATTTAACAATGACTTTGTATGTGTACAGTATGTATGTCTAATGCTTTCTGTCTCTCTGCACAGCCTCTCTGTTGGCTCTGGTGGTGGTGGCCTGTGTATTAGGGGGTCTTCTGCTCATTGTGATTGTGGTAGCTATCATCTACATCTGCAAGAGGTAAGATTTTTTGAGAGGTAGATTTAAATGTCTCTGCATTTGTTTTCTGTGCTTTCTGTGCATTTGTTGACATTGTGTGTGCGTATTATTGATTTTTCTGCAGGAAGAAGCCAGACATCAATTATTTCAGCAGCCCCTACTCTGCTGGGGACTACCGGACCCATTGGACCTCTCAAGAGGTCGGCCATATCCCCCGTGCCACTCTCACATCCACCTCCAGCCATGATGTCTCTGGGAACAGTCTGGAGATGTCTGAAGCGATGGGCAAAGGGAAAGGGCACAGTAATGGATTGGTGAGAATCCCCTTTTAATAGAACCTCAGAGATGTAAATCTGTTAAAGGTTCTAGGTGTACTTATCTTTAGCTTACAGTGAGTTTTTAAATAATGATTTATTGAAAGATTTAATAAAGATAATATTAATAAGTGACCCTGGAGAGCAAAAGCAGTCTTATGTTGCATGGGTACATTTTTGGCAATATCCAAAAATACATTGTAAAGTACATAATTTCTATTATGCCAAAGATAATTAGGATATTACATAAAGAAAAGGTCACATGAAAAAGAAACATTGTATATAAGTGCACTTAATTGCAATTCATAGGCAATAATGGCAATTTTATAGCCAATTTTCTCAGTATTTGGATTTTTTGAACACTTATATTCCATATCTTGGACAAATATTGTTCTGTCTTAACAAACCACACATTCATGGAAAGCTTATTTGTGACTCTGGGGAAAAATTGTCACTTATTTTGAAATTGAGGCTTTATGAATTGTGTATTGATGTATGGTTTGTTATGATAGGACAATATTTGACTGAGATACTATTCAAAATCTGGAATCTGAGGGTTGAAAAAAATTCTAAATGTTGAGACAACCACCTTTTAAGCAACCACTTTTTAAAAATATCTTCATAAAACATGATCTTTCTTAATATTCTAAGAATTTTTGGCATAAAAGAAAAAAAAAAACATAGAATTTTGACCCATTCAATGCTCTTTTGACTATTGCCAAAAATAGTCTGGACTGATTTTGTCATTCAGTGTTATATATTAGTAAGTGAAATTAAGTTTAGTTTTATTTAATCATGTTATAAAAGAATTATTAAGATCATTCTCAAGTTTGGGGTCAGTTTGCTATTAAAATATTAAGCAGAATAACTTTTTTCAACATTGATAACACATTTTAGACACTTTTTATTATTTTATGCAAAAGAAATGACGTAAAGGACAATATTTAATTTCTAACTTGGAAGAAATTCATGACACTAAATTTCTCTTTTGATTATACTGTAGCTCACGATTGCTCAAAGATAGACCAAATCTGCTGTAACTGTTGTAACAAACCCTTACTCTGAAAGATTAACAAACATGTCACTTGGACAAGTTATATAATCATAATTTTTTTTAATAAAATAAAAATACTAATTTAAACACATGAGTCAGTTGGCGCTTCTGTGCGGAGTTCGCATGTTCTCTCCATGTTCACGTGGGTTTCCTCCGGGTCCTCCGGTTTCCCCCACAAGTCCACAAACATGTGGTACAGGTGAATTGAGTAGGCTAAATTGTCCATAGTGTATGTGTGTGAATGAGTGTGGATGGATGTTTCCCAGTGATGGGTTGCAGCCGTAAGCGTACATATGCTGGATAAGTTGGGAGTTCATTCCATTGTGACGACCCCAGATTAATGGGACTAAGCCGAAAGAAATTGAATGGATGAATAAATACAAACGCAAAACAATAAATTATGAATCTAGATCAGGGTTGGCCAATCCTGTTCCTGGAGATCTACCTTCCTGCAGATTTCAGTTGCAACCCTTATCAAACACACCTGTCTGTAATTATCAAGTGGATTTCAGGTCCTAATTAATTGGTTCAGGTGGGTGTGATCAGGGTAGGCGCTAAACTGTACATGAAGGTAGATCTCCAGGAACAGGATTGAGCACCCCTGATCTAGATAAACAAAAAAGTGATTACTTATACATACACATTATTGCGTATACTGTATTTTTTTTATGTAAAATACAGTTTGTTGACCCCAAATGTTTATGATCAGTATGAAGATATAAATTGAATAAAAAATCATATATATATATATATATATATATATATATATATATATATATATAATTTTAATATACAATTTTTACTTTGACTTTTTATAGTGCTTATAATTCTACATGTTTTTTAATTGTAGAAATGAACTCACTGTAAGTTACAGTTCAATTTATTCAAGTATTAAAAAACCCTTCATGTATTTTAAACATGCAAGCAGCTTCAGGATAGACACATACTAACATAGTAACACCACTAACAAATCCTAAACATAATGTTCAATCAGACTCAAGCTCATCTCCAAATCTTTACTCCGTCTGTCAAGCTGAACTCTGCTAACAATCTCCTTCTAACTGAATCAATGATTACATTGAGTGATTGACTGAACTTCGTTAAGTAGATGAATCTCAACAAGGCCACTCAAACTGTAAAGAGGGCCTATTGCTTGTGTGAAACATTATTTTAGTGTGAAGCTAAGACAATAGTAATGACATACATGTACATACAACTATTTATAAGTAGATTTTAAAACTTTATTGTTTTTAAATGTTCATTTTAGCATACATAATGGATATTCAAGTTAGCTCATAAAAAACCTCTCTCTGTGTATGTTTGTGCACGTATCGTGGTCGTTGTGTATGTTTGTGTCCCGACATGATTCCTCCTCACTCCAAACACTAGAAGATTGGAGGAAAGGTAAGTCACCGACTCGATGGAAAAAACATGGGCTGTTAATGTGTGTTCTTTTGCGTCAAGGCAGAGACAGACTTGGATATATATGAATGCACAACATACTGTATGGGCTGTAATTCTGTAGTAAAAAAGAGACAATTGTGTTAGTAAAACAATACATTAAAACACTAAATGGCTGTTCTGAATATGGCCACCAAGTGAACTGACTTGCCTTAATGGGGAATTTGGTGCCCATGTTCTGAGTTAAATACAACTTAAAGTTAAGTGAGCACTTTCTGCAGCACAGATGTTACCAAAATAACACGTGCAACATCAACTATGACATGAAGTGATAGATCAGACGAAAGTACAAATTGGATGTTAATTTGCTCTCACATCATTCAAGATATAGGCAACTTTTTGTCTTCAGTAAAAAACATCACGCTTACCAATTCTTAACATAAATGGTAACTTCGTTGAAGTCCTGGCTCTTGGTTATCTGTAAAATGCAATCAAAGATGAGCATGATATTTATCTGCAAAATCTGCGACAACAAAATAGGGGGGACAAATGGAATACCCTTGGTTCCTGGTGAAACATTGATGTCTTATAAAGGGAAATTTTTGAAATAATAATGATAAATAAAATAAATGAAATAATAGCCATTTCAATAACCATAAATTCAAAAACTTCAGATCAATCATTTCATACCATGAGGAATTGATGTGTCATCTGGAACCTTCATTTAGTTTTGCTTGTATATGTTTTTGTTTTGTTGTTTTTTTCAATGTGCTGGTGGACTGCACTGACTTGCATTTTATGAATTTACCAAGAACAAAATAAATGATAATAAAACAACAAAGAAAAAAAAAGATATTGGATGGCCTGAGAGTTATTAAATTAAAAGGATAGTTCACCTAAAAATGAGGTGTTGGTGGCCACCGACTTACATTTTATGAATTTAATAAGGACCACATAAAAAAAGAAACTAGCCAAAAAAAAAAAGTTCTACTACAGAAAAAAAAACATCTTGGATGGCCTGAGAGTGATTCAATTAAAGACAGTTCACCTATAAAGGAAAATTCTGTTATTAATTATTTATCTTCATGTCATTCCAAACTCCTGTGACCTGCTATCATCTTCAGAACATAAATTACGATATTTTTGATGAATACAAAATTTTTCCCCTCGTCCTCCATAAACAGCACCGGTCTTGAAACGATACATATATATATATATATATATATATATATATATATATATATATATATATATATATATATATATATATATCAGTTGAAGTCAGATTTATTAGCCCCCTGTTTATTTTTTCCCCAATTTCTGTTTAATGGGGAGAAGATTTTTTTTCAGCACATTTCTAAACATAATAGTTTTAATAACTCATCTCTAATAACTGATTTATTTTATCTTTGCCATGATGACAGTACATAATATTTTACTAGATATTTTTCAAGACACTTCTATACAGCTTAAAGTGACATTTAAAGGCTTAACTAGGTTAATTAGGTTAACTAGGCAGGTTAGGGTAATTAGGCAAGTTATTGTATAACGATGGTTTGTTCTGTAGACTATCAAAAAAATTATAGCTTAAAGGGGCTAATAATTTTGACCTTAAAATGAATTTTTAAAAATTAAAAACTGCTTTTATCCACGCTGAAATGCAACAAATAAGACTTTCTCCAAAAGAAAAAACATGTAAACATTAAAATGTAAACAACTTATAAAAAACATCCTATAATGTTAATAAGTTATCATTTGATAAGAATGTCAATATCTCAATTTTGACAAAAAATTCAGATAGAACCTTATAATTATAAGGTAACAAGATATATATATATATATATATATATATTCAAACATTCCAAGTGACTTTAGTGTTTCAACTGTAATCCTCAAGTTTCAACTTGTAAATTCTTATAAAAACTAGGGTTGGGTGACGTTGACCAATTTGGCATCATACGATGTCTAATGTGAAACATTCCGATGGACGATGGCATCGTCGTCATAGGCAGAGGTGAATTAATTATTCATGAATAATGAATTAATTCTGAACAAATGAATTTTTGTAGCCTACCGTTTCAGCTACCTGACTCTCATGGTCTTTTTTACCCATAAACAAATCATAAATAAATAAAGATAAGTTGCACACAAACTACCACCTGTCAATCAGTTTTTCCGCAGGAGATTGGTCGGTAAAAAAGGTCCAGATTTTCTAATTTTAGTGAACTGTCCCTTTAAGCTGTATTTAACCTGTAAGGAATATTCCTCTATTTTCTTCCTTTCTCTGTGTGATTGATGGACTTACCACCACTACATACATTCTGGTTCTGCAGTAAATTGCTATTATTCTCTGCATGACATCTTGATTTTGATCTGTTTTGGACTTTTTGCATGCCATCATAAGCTTTGCATGGATTTTTTTAAGCAGTGTTTTGTGATTTGTCCTGCATGCTGGTATTGTAAAAAGAGACTTTTATGATTTATGGATTGTTGTGTTTTTGATTGTGTGGCTAATATGACCTTTCATTTCTTCCTTAGACGGGCTCGTATGATCTCACTTCAGATAGCATGAGAACCTTTAAAGACCCGAACCCTACACGGTACTCTTATCTGGTGGGTCATGAAAACCCCTATTTCATACCGGGAGATGAGAAGAGATGAGGAATGCAGAAGAGGAAAGTAAGAGGACAAGAGTGCAATAATAATAACGTGAATTATAAAAAGGCCTTGGATCAAAACATTTCAGGAAAGATTAACCACACAGCTGACTCAGTGCATACATGCAAACAGCTTTAGAGAGATTTATCGTTTTTAATATTTTAAAATGCAGCTTTTATTCTAAATTCTATTACCCAGGATAAAATGCTCGCTTCCTATAAGTGCATTGATGATTGGGTTTCTTTTTCCACAAGTTTGACTGGTGTGTTTTATGTATGAGGATGAGAGATGAACACAGAACACTCTTTTTTCTGTTCATATGTCTTTATTTTTTTAGAATGTTTCATCTGCACATTTCATATCCAGTGTTTGTTAATATTTCAAAGATCATCCGTATGTTGCTATGGTTTTCATCTCAGAACACTTTACTATAAAAGGATGTAATATTGAACCATGTAAGTGATCGTTGATGACTTAACCAGTCATATGTTGCATGCATGGTTTTTTAGCAATAGTAAAATCTACATATGGGTCAAATTATAGATTTGTTTTACATTGTATTTATATTTTTTAACATATTCCAGATTTTCAAATAGTTGTATCTCTGCCAAATATTGTCTTTTCTTTACAAACCATATGCAAACGTATTTATTTAACTTTCAGGTCTTATTTTTTCTTCCTAAATTTTGACACTTATGACTAGTTTTGTGGTCTATGGTCACATTTTATTGAAATTATTCTGTTATTGCAATAAATTAGGGGCATAATATTCAATATAATCCAGTTTCTTGTTTTTAAAAGGCATCTAATCAATCCAGTAATTGCACTTTTAAGGAGAAAGGGTGTCTGTATTTGTGTCTGTGTGTGTTTTAAGTTATATGACAATGCCCTCTGATATATTCAGTTCTGTCATGACAACGTTTGAAGAGAGTATAGTTATATGTATATGGAAACGTTTGTAATCAATGATTATTGGTGCAGAGCTTGTACTTCTAGACCATTTCAATGTGGTCATGTCATTGGCCCATGAACATTTCCTGCTTATCAAATTATTTCATAACTGTAACAAGAGGCAATTTAATCATAACTTAATGTTAAAACAGCTGCCATAACATTATCAATATGTGGCTCTTTTTGGATTCTCTGAAGCTATAGAAATGAAAAATGTAAAACAGGAAATACAATAAGACCATTGCTTTTGTTTGCATCCCTTAAAATGGTCTATACTGCCAGTATTTTCACAAACATATACTGTCTGAGAATGTAAAACGCTTCTGCTGCAAACATAACATACATAAACCTCCTATAGCAGATCCATACACAGGTGGAGGATGGTAGAAGTAAATGCATGGCAGAATGCTAATGTAAATGACACTGAGGTATTTAAATATTGAGGATCAAGCTCATTGGCTGATGAAGGGACAGCAACCAATCATGCAGTTGGAAACATAGAACTTATGGGCCTGCCCAATCCGCCTGTTAAGTGTGACGTCTTGCAAATCAGCTTACGGGTCCAAGCACTCTATCAAACTGTATGGGGAGACTCGACAAATAATAATAAAAAACATTTACAAAATGATATAATACCTTCGATTATATCGCAATCACAATACATAAATATCCATACCTAATATCCGTTGGCCTAAAAGTAATACATTTTTATAAATTGGTAAAATGTTGGTATTTGTAATGCAGAAAGTCCAGAGATGGTTGTGTACAGCATGATTTGATATAAAATTCCCTTTAATGTGTGATAGGACTAAAAAGTGGCCATATAATATTTTCTTAGTTCAAATGAGTAGGGGCTTGGACCCGGAAACAGTATTTCCTACATCACAACTTAACAAGTGGATAGAGTTTCATGACAGAACATTGTATTTATGACTTTTTGGTATATACATATATTTCTCCAAAGAATTAATTTATTTCCTGCCAGGACAATGCATGCCAGCAGAAATTGATCTCTGTGCCTGACTTTGACGTGGTCTTTCGAATAGGAGAAATATGAATTAAAGAGGAGTTTTCTTTTAATCATGTCTCCTCTGTAGACGTGCCAATAATCAAATTTATGTACACCAGAACCTGACAGTGTTTATTTAACTGTCTGTTTGCTACATATAGACTTATTTATGTGTCACTGGGATGTTTTCTATCTGTACATAAGGCTTTTGTAAAAATAAATGCTCTTGGGACAGAGTGATTATTCATGTTGTTCTGTATGTTGAAACTAAATAAATTAATATAAAGATGTAGTTATCTAAAAGTTGTCTAGGTGTTTTTGTGTATGCTTCCACACATTCACCAATGTGTTTTTATTCATTAAGTAATTAATTTGTTTTGTTGTGTGTTTATGCATATTCACTCATATTTCCACTCATAGCTGAATTAAATTCAGCTATTTTGCTAAGTGTTAAGAAAAAGTAATATAGTTTTATTAATTAAAGTAATATTATATATTTATTTGGCATTTACCGGTTTTGATGGTAATCAGTTTGAATGGGCTTTATGGACAGCTGGAGTTTTAAAGCCAACGATAAACTACCGGTGAAAGGTTAATGTGACTATTTTCAATTTCACAAGGTTGTTTTTTCCAGCATCCATGTCATAATGTAATTACAACACATTCAGTTAAATAGACTTAAGCAATCATTTAGTCCAGTGGTCACCAAACTTGTTCTTGGAGGGCCGGTGTCCTGCAGATTTTAGCTCCAACCCTAATCAAATACACCTGAACAAGCTAATCAAGGTCTTAGTAGGTATACTTGAAACATCCAGGCAGGTGTGTTGAGCCAAGATGGAGCTAAACCTTGCAGGGACCCCAGCCCTCCAGGACCAGGATTGGTGACCCCTGATTTAGTTGTTCAAGGGTAAAACTAGATGAAAGACTGTTGTAACCACCAACTCCGTCAGTAGCAACAGGCTAGCACAGAAATTCCATTGAAAATACTGGGGTAAAATAAACTGACATATTATAAAGACATGGTGGGGGGAAATGGAATCTAATGCAGTGCTTCTTGTCCGATCTGAGACCCACTTTATATCATATCTAACAGGCAGTGAAGATCGCTTTTTTTAATGAAATCAGATCTTATATTTGACAATTTTGTAATAGAAAGACAGTTTAACGGAAGCCCTTTGGCTGCCTGGCTGAAAATTAAAAGTCAGTGTGCATATAGCCCAATTATTAATTAATTCATTTTCTTTTCGGCTTAGTCCCTTTATTAATCTGGGGTTGCCACAGCGGAATGAACTGCCAACTTATTTAGCACGTTTTTACGCAGCGGATGCCCTTCCAGCTGCAACCCATCTCTTGGAAACATTCACACACACTCCTTCACACACATACACTACGGACAATTTAGCTTACCCAATTCACCTCTACCACATGTCTTTGGACTGTGGGGGAAACCGGAGCGCCCGGAGGCAACCCACGCCAACATGGAGAGAACATGCAAACTCAACAAAGAAACTTCAACTGACCGAGCCGAGGATTGAACCTGCGACCTTCTTGCTGTGAGGAGACCTTCTGCGCCACTGCGTCACCTATAGACCAATTAAATGACCCAAAAAAATATCTTAACACTCAAGAGGTTCTAAACTTTACTGAAGACTTTTCTTTCTGTTGAACACAAAACAAGATGGACTGAATAATGTTACTGACATTCATAGTAGGAACAAAAAATACTATAAAAGTCATGTTTTTTCAGTAATCTTCAGTATATCTTTTCTGTTTAACAGAAATGTGAGCAAATGTTTGGAACAAGTAGAGGATTAGTTTATGACTGCAGAATTCATAGAATTTTTCTCTTCCCTATTCCCCTAAATGTGTGTAATAGAGGGCATTAGCACTCCTATTTGACACACTTGACATTCTTTTCACATTCACCCCAATTAGCCCCCCCCCCCCCCCCTTTAAACAAAAACCCCCTTTTAAACAAAATCTTATTTGCTGAAAATATAACATTTATGGAATGAAAGTCCAATACTGACCAGTGATGTGACTTTTTTTCTGTCAAAACCAGCTTAAACAAAAGGGATTGCCATACTTAACAAGCATGTCTATAGAGAAATCTGTGAAATGTACATCATAAATCTTTATAAATAATTACATTTACAAACATTTTGTGGCAGTTCATTCCGCTCTGGCGACACCAGATTAATAAAGGGACTAAGCCGACAAGAAAATAAATTAATGAAATTGAACATTTTGATTTTTGTTCATAATTTTTTTGTTTGTTTTCAATTTAATATATACCACGGGTTTCCAAACTCGGTCCTGGAGGGCCGGTGTCCTGGAGAGTGTAGAAAATAGAATTTGTTTCTATAGTATTTTTTCTATTTCTCATTAGAGTAATCCTTGATTCTCTATTAGTATGTTGTGTATGCTTTGCCTACACTCTCAGGAAAAAAGGTACAAAATTGTACCTTTTAGGGTACAAATGGCCCGTCACTGGGGTGGTACCCTTAAGGGTACAAATTTGTACCTCTTTTTGAAGGTACAAAATTGTACCTTCTACATTTGTACCCTTTAAGGGACAATTTTGTACCCCCACCGAAGGTACAAAAATGTACCTTTTTATATTATATAGCATTTTCAGGGTACTGACCCAGGCATTTTGATCCTTTGGTAACTGCATGCACAAATAAATAAATAAATTAAATATTTTGGTTCGCAGATGTCCATTTTTATTTATTAATGTAGAAATATTTCATTACAACTCACAACTGAATGTGTTAAGGAATAAAATTACACAGCAAGTATAAAGCAGACATGTAAAACAGTAAAAAGAACAATTTAGATAACAAATAAAAACTGTTCACTCACTGTACAGTATATAATCTACCCTTAATACAAAGACCACAAGAATACTGTTTAAGATTTATAAACACATTACACAGGCTACATCAAGTACTTCACTTTATAAAGTCCAAAGTATTTGTCTTGAGTCAGAATACTCAGTCATAATAAATAATTTGTCATCAAAATTTTCTCTGTATTTCAGAATGAAGGCAATTTTTCTCTATAAATTGCTTCAACAGTGCAGAAAACCAAATACATCAGTAGCCTCTTCCTCAACATCAGTAGATTACTCCTCATCATCCTCAAGTGGAGTTGTAATTAGTTGTAACACAATATGTGTTTATGCTTTTGATAAACATGACATGTAAAGCACTCATATCTGGATCATTAGGACCACAAGTTATTTAAAAATTTTGCTTTATGCATGAATGAGAGCAGTGTGCTGGATTAACTTTATGATTGAGCATGTAGAGAAACAAAAAACAAGGTTGATCACTTTGGTAACTGGAGTAGATCCAGGCTTGTCACCGTCCACCGTTCATTCAAAACATTCCACTGCAGAAACATCAAGGTGTTCTTCTAGTAAGATGGATATGTCAAAAATGTATATTCGTCCACATCATTAGCCCGGCCAATCACAATCCCATCAACTCTGAAGACTGCCGTGACTCGTCTTGTTAACACAGTTGTCCAGTCGGTGGCCTCCTCCTGTACTTGAACTGTTGGATGTGGTGAAGATGGTTCACTGTAAATGACAAAGCAATAATTACATTAATATCAGTCACTCTATCACTGATGAAGAGAAAATCAACATGCATAGAAAGTAAAATAATTAATATTCACTGATTAAAAAAAAAAAGTATCACAGATTAAAAGACTAATATAAATTTCATTCATTCATTCAATTTCTTTTTGGCTTAGTCCCTTTATTAATCTGGGGTTGCCACAGTGGAATGAACCACCAACTTATCCAGCATATGTTTTATGCAGCAGATGCCCTTCTAGCTGCAACCCAGTATTACGAAACATCCAGACACACTTATTCACACACACATTTATACACTACAGACAAATAAGCTTACCAAATTTAGCTATAGCGCATGTCTTTGGACTTGTGGGGAAACCGGAGCACTTGGAGGAAACCCTCACAAACACTGTAAGAATATGCAAACTCCTCACACAAATGCCAACTGACCCAGCCGAGGCTCGAACCAGCGACCTTCTTGCTGTAAGGTGACAGCACTACCCACTGCGTCATCCTAATATAAAGAATATCAAGAATTATAAAATGCATTTATCACAGCATATACTAAACAGAAAACAACATACGAACCGGAGCACAACGAAATGTTGAAGTGTCTCGCTTAACAAGGCTGGCAACATGAGAAGTGCTGCTGTAAAATCAATTCCTGGAACATAAGATGTGGCATACAAACAAATATGAAGGAATCCATACAAAGCTAGAATTTAATAATATTAATCAAGTGGAGAAAGTTTAGAAAGAGTACCTTAGAGTCAGGTCCATAGCATTCTTCAGTTGATCTCTCATCTTTCGATGAATACCTAGAAAATAATTTTAAACACGTAGGTGTACATTTATTGTTGTTTGTAAGTAAAAACCTACAAATTTAAAATAGTATGTAAGCCATTAAAACCATGGTATAGATAATGAGACATACTTACATCTTGTAACTGAGCCATGCTTTCATATGACATGCCTTCATTGGTCTGATGCTGTTAGCCTACATTATGTTGTTCAATCTTGTCCTGAAATACAATTGGAAACTTCATAAACTTCTGGAAAGCAATAAGATAAAGCAATAACTATTTATTTATTTTGAGATATTAATAAAATAGGTAAAATAGCTCAAGGTAAGTTACCAGTTTCAGAACAGATAAGACAAATTATTACATTAAAGAACAAATAATTTAAAACGTCGATTTATACAACGTGGTATGTTAATAATTATTCTACATTAACATAAGTATAACGTTAAACGATATTAAAGCACCAACAATTCTGGACATGAGAGTTTGTGGACACTCCTCAACATTAATATAACTTAGACACTGAAACGAAGATAAGTACAAGCATACACACGCCACGTTTGTAACTAGCCACGTTTACGTTACATAATCAGTCGCATTGCCGGTGACAAAATTGTGATTTTGCTTCACAAAATGGCGGTGTATAACCGTCTACAATTACATTTCCTCGGTCAACCGTGGCTAGAAAATGGCCTCAAAATATAAAACATTATCGATAATTACAAATTTCCAGTATTAATAACAAAAGGTTTTATATCAAGGTATATGAAGACTTTAGTCGCGCCAGCTCCGGGCCACACCGCACATTACTCACGGCCCGATTCCGGTGCACGGTTACGGCAGCGTCGGCTCGCTTCTGCCGCCGCATCTGGCCCAAGTAACGTTAACGATACAGCAGACGGACTCGGGCAGGC